CCCCCCCCCCCCCCCCCCAATCGGTGGATGGGTACCAGGACCACCGCAGGTACAGGCATTAATACAACCAGGCATTGGCAGAGAGGGGAACCAAGAAAGGGGGATGGTAGCCCTAAAAGTCCTCTGCCTCGGATCTCCCATACTTGGCAAATCATGGGCAAGCGAAATTATGTTTCCCCGTAACTAGCATATACTTACGTTTAGTCCATTGTGATTGCTTTGTTGTCTTTCGTTTAGATTTACAAACATCCCGGCTGGCTGCTTATTGTTTAGGGGACAACTGGTAGCGTCAAATGGGTAAAATGCGTGAGGTGCGTTCGTATTGGCTCCGAAAATAGCAGATTCTTAACTGGTCAAATTCACGCACTAGGTGATAAATTTCATGCATAGCCTGCCAATTTCATGCATATCCTGCCAATTTTCACGACGTTTCAAGGGTTTGGGGGTGCTTCTGGAATTTGAAGCATAATCGGGCGGTTTGTTTTTATTTGTCTTATTTTGGCGTCTAATCATAATAACTTTCATAAAAATTGGTGCCGTTCATCTCCTTGTCAAACGCGAATCGAAATCCGCTTACATAGAGATTCTGGAGGTTGATAGGCTCGTCTCCATCATTTATGTCCCCGTCAGTAATTTCAAAGCTCTCGGCGTTTCCCCGGTCCAATCTCACGAGCTTGTTAACAATACCCTGCAAATAGTGCACCATGCATATATCGAGATGAATAAACAATTGCCTGTATTGACAGGGGGCTTGGGTTGAGGAGGTGTCAAAGTATATTTCCCTGCCGTCGTTATATTCACTCTCATACACGGTTTGGAGACTACAACACTGAAACTGGATGGGAGCGAAGTGGTTGGTGTGAAAGTCCCAGTTTTGAAACCGCACCAGCCCGCACATATCAAAGTTGTTGCGAGCTAAATACCGGCATCGATAGTTTTGAGCCAACGAATTGAGGGTGATGGCATTGTTTAAGTCCTTCCAATAGTTCAGCAGCTCGTCAAAGTATTTGTGGAAATTTACAAAATCGTCAAGTTTTTCCAACCACACGCTGCAGTACCCGCATTTGCATCCATTCCACATTAGATTGTTCATGGGTTGCTCGTAGCACGACAACACCTCCAAGTAGTTGGGGAGCACAAGGTTGATCTTGGGCGTCGCGAGGGTGTTGATGACGTTGACAAGCGTCTCGAGTACCTCGATTTTTTTCAAGTAGTTTCCTTCAAATTCGTCAACAATCTGCCCCGTGAGGGGAGGGTTGTAGGAAATTGAAAGATAGCTGAGACTCCGAAACTCGTTGGCATGGAGACTGAGCCATTCGATGAGTTTGAGGTCGGTTTTCTCGTTCCTATTGTGGTCGTATAAGTCGGGCTGCACAATAGAAAGCTTCTGGAGCCTGTACAAGTCTATGGATTTGGTGATGAAGTCCAAATTCGTGTGCGGATCGAGTGACACTTCAAGGTTTTTGAGATGCTGCATGTCTATTACCGACAACTCAGTGTTTCTGTCGATGTTGATGCTTGTAGGGAAGATCTTAAGGGAGTTTTTCTTCAAATATGAGAAGAACAGCGGGTTTTGTATCACATAAGACCGTTTTTTCAGGAAAAATAGTTGCTTTTGCTCGCAATGGCCGGTGCGGATATCGAGTTCGTCGATATCTTTGAAATCAGAGACGTGGTCGACGATTATGGAGTTGAAGGAGATTTTGCTCTTTAAATACTTGCGGAGTTTGTCGTTCTCGACATAAACATTGGCGGAAATCTTGCCCAAAAGTTGGACTATTTCGTTGTCCACAGCCTGATTGAAGGTATCGAACACACTCACTTTCTTGACAAGGTTTGGTAAGTCAGAATTGATGGATAAGGCGGAGTTCAAAGCGCTCAAGCGAACCTCGACCATCTTAAGGTTCTTTACTGTGTCATGGCACTGTGAAAGCCCACAAATAACGGTCTTGTCGTTAAAACTAAGTTTGCGATGGGTTTTGGGAACAAGCGAGCATGTCAGAAACACCACGATTTCACGGTACAACTTAGCGAGACACGGGCTATAGAACTGGTAGTTTGTGCATGCAAGATTTACCAACGATGTGGGGTCCACGTATTCAAGAACCCGATCCAATATTACCGGTGATAGCTGAGTTAACATGATATTTGGCAATAGTAGTTCCCCAACATTTTCAAACTGCGAGGGCTACGCGACATCTTATAATCGTCCCACGACATTGTCCGGAAATCGTCGAACCGGCAAAACCACCCATACTCAATGGGCAGTATTAACAACCACCCAGATGGTTATGGCGAGCTATAGATTAGGTTAGTCAATTTTTTGTGATTTTTGGGGGTTGTATTCGAAGCGTATTTGTGAATTTTACAAAAAGGACGGAGATAGAGCGAGACTCAGAATTAAACAAGTCCCAGAAACCTGAGAGGAGTAAGAAAATCGGAAGAAACAAAGTCCATCTACATGATTCATAGTCCTGACTTTCGGAGATAAACTGACTATGGGTGCAACTATCGGAAAATGAGTTGCACCCAAAGTCCCTAGATTCCCACAGGCTGGTGAAGTTTCGAAGCCAGTACACGCAAATTTAACTCCCGTTGCGGGTGAATGTAACGTGACAGGGCTTACAGAGAGGCATTGGGTGCGCGGGGTTTGGATCTGGGAGGTGCTCCGGATGGTGCGAACTAGGGCCACCTGCGTCCTAGGCGGTACACGCGCCTGGTCGGGTAGTCTCGCCCCTTCCCGATTAGGTATCACTTAACCGCTACCTGTCCCCCACCTGATACAATGCTCGCTCGAATTCCCACCGGTGCAATTCCCCCGTTCCCACTAATTAAGAACTTCCAACACCCATTTCAGCTCATTCACCAACTCTCATACTCTCTACCATCACCTATCCCCGCCATCTCCCAACCAACTCTCTCATTTTCGCACCACCCCCACTTCTGCCCCCCTATCCCCAAGACCCGTAAATCTGTGGGGAGATGAGATATAAACACCTGCGGCACATACCCGATTTTTTTCCCGCTGTCTCCAAATATAAATATCCAACCGCCCGCCCTTACCCCCCAAATCCTCACATCTAAAATGGCTCCCATTCACGAAGGAAAATCAAAATGGGACGATGTTCCTAATCCTTGTTTGATGGTAGGACCTGGCTATACCCTTAAGACGGGGGAAGCACCTATCCATCCGTTGAAACCCACCGAAGTCCGGCTTCAAGTCAAGTGCACCGGAATCTGTGGTTCCGACATTCACTTGTGGAAGAAAGGGGGAATTGGTGATTTGGTTATAACGGAAGATTTGATCATCGGCCACGAAGCGTCGGGCCAAATCCTCGAGATTGGTCTGCAAGTTAGTAACACGACGTTGAAGGTCGGTGACCGGGTGGCCATTGAGCCCCAAGTTCCTTGTGGATCGTGCTACTTGTGTATGAACGGGAACTACAATTTGTGTGAGTCTGTGGACTTTTTGGGGATGCCCCCCACCAATGGGTCGATCCAGCGGTTTTTGAACTTGGACTCCAAATTCGTCCACAAGTTGCCAGAGGGTGTTTCGTACGAAGAAGGTGCGTTAGCTGAGGTGGTGTCGGTGGGCTACCATGGAATTGAGAAGGCTGGAGGTTTACCCCTCGGAAAGCCTGCTATGGTAGCTGGTTGCGGACCTATTGGATTGGCGACTTTGCTTTTGGCAGACATTTCTGGAGCCTACCCTATTGTGGCAACCGATGTCAACGCCGAGAGATTGGAGTTTGCAAAGAAATTAGTTCCGGGGGTATTCACCTACCAGATCAATCCATCTTTGACCACCAAGGAAAATGCAGCTGCAATTCGTAAGATTTTTGGTGAAACTGAATACCAGATGCCTTCCACCGTGTTGGAGTGTACCGGAGTTGCGTCTTCCATCAACACCTGTGGGTACACCGTGAGAAGAAACGGGAAGTTGGTGATTGTGGGAGTTTCATCCTCGAATGAAATCGATGCTTTCCCATTTATGCCCTTATCTTTTGGTGAAGTAGATGTGAAGTTCGTTAACCGGTACCACGACTCGTGGCCTCCGGTGCTTAACTTGATTCAGAGTGGGAAATTGAAGAAGATCAACGAGTTCATTACTCACAAGGTGAAATTGGAGGATGCTGCGCAGGCACCTGCGATTGTGTTTGATCCCAAGACTCCTAGTATGAAGGTGTTTGTGGTTGATGAGATGGAGTTGAACTAGTGGGGTTGAAGTTGTACTTGTACGGCTTATTTGCATGAATTAATGATTTACGTTGTATAGTTGAGCATATTAATACAGAGGTAGATTGAAAGGGTATTCTGGAGACAGAGAAGAGAATGGTTTTTAATGTGTGGGGGCGGGGCTGACAGTGCTCGTGGTGACTGTCGCGGTGTTGTTACAGTGTCGTCGCGATGTGGCGGTGGCCTCGCTTGTTAGCTCTATCCCCGAATCGCATCGAAAATTGTTGCGGATAAATCAACCCGCAGCCGCAATCAACTACATCTCCGCCCACTCCTCCCAATGGGGAAATTCGGGGCTCTTTAACCGCAACCCCAGCTGTAATCTTCTTACCCCACCACCATTTTTAGGGACCTACTCCACCATCCTGAGGGACCTACTTCACCACCTTGGGGCCTACTCTCACCCCTCTTATTGAGTTTCCACCAAAATACTAACCTATATCTTTTCCTTTCAATCTCTCCGTCATTTCTTGAACACCTCTATTCAAACTTAACTTCATTTATTCATAACTAACAACTAACATGCTCGTAATTAGTCAAAACCTTGACCTTATCAGCCGAAGCTGAACCCTTGTCAAACTCATACGTAAGCCACTCCCCCACCAATCTCCGGGCCAACTCGAGCCCCACCACCCGTTGCCCCATGCATAACACCTGGCAGTCATTAGACAAAATGCTTCTCTCGACCGAAAATGAGTCGTGAGCTGTCACCGCACGAATCCCTGGTACCTTATTGGCACTTATAGCAACACCCAATCCGGTGCCACAAATTAATATCCCCCGGTCAAACTTACCGGCTCTGATCAACTCTCCCACTTTGATTCCCACTGATGGATAGGGCGTCAGGTCGGTGTTGGAGCCCACTCCAATATCTTCCACTTGGTCTACAAGCGGATTATTTTGCAAGTCTTGCACGAGTTTCTGTTTGTACTCAAATCCTGCTTGGTCACACCCAATTACCACCTTCATAGTTGATTTGGTAGTCACTAACGAACATGAGGGTATTTATATGAAAGGGCAGCGGATTTTAGGGGTGGGGATGGAAAGTTTTTTGGGACAACTGCAAACCCCGGAATTTGTGTGAGTATTGTTCCGAGAGTGTTCCTTAGGACTCCCACCCCACATCCATCCCTATAAAAGTACTCACCTACCCCATACAACCAGACTCCCAGACACTCATAAATGACTAAACACTTTGTTCCTGAGAACCCAAACAACTTGGTTAAAGACTGCTTACAGGGCTATATCGTGTGCAATGAGCACTTATCAGTATTGTACCATGAGAAAGTTATTTTCAACAATAAGTTTGACTCATCCCAGGTGTGTTTGATCAGTGGTGGTGGAAGTGGCCACGAACCTGGATGGGCTGGCCTCGTTGGAAATGGAATGCTCGCTGCCTGTGCCCAAGGAGAGGTGTTTGCATCTCCAAATTTCAAAAATATCCAGGCGGCTGAGAAAACTGTCCACAGCCAAAAGGGCTGTATTTTGGTCATAACCAACTATACTGGTGACAACCTCTACTTCGGCATGGCCCAGCAGGAGCTTCTTGCGCGGTATGGGCCTGGCCATGTCAAGTTGTTGAGGTGCACCGATGACGCGGCGATTCCTCGCTCAACCAACTCGCTTGTGGGACGAAGAACCTTGGCAGGAGTGGGAATTGTGATCAAGATGATGGGAGCTGCCACCCAACTCCCACACCTCTCATTAGATGACATCTATCACTTTGGAGAGACGGTCAATCGGAATGTTATTTCCATAAACGCTGGGTTGGACCATGTGCATATTCCGGGCCATGCGCCCGATTCCGATTACGGAAAATTGCAGCCAAATGAAATTGAAATTGGTTTGGGTATTCACAATGAGCCAGGTTTCGTTAAACTTTCCCTGATTCCAACTAACGAGGCTCTCATTTCTGATATGTTGCAGTACATGTTGAGCCAAGATGATCCGGAGCGTAGTTACTTAAAGTACGACAGCTCCGACCAGTTTATACTCCTTTTCAACAATTTAGGCGGATTGCCAGTAATTGAGGAAAAGGCCCTTCTTTTCCAGACAGTTACCCAGTTAGACAGGGATTACGGGATCGTGCCCCACAGAGTGTTGGCAGGAAACTTTGTCACCTCGTTGAATGCCTCGATCTTCACCATCACCTTGTTCAATGTAACCAAAACTGCTGGAATGTTCACGGAACAACAGCTTTTTGATTTGTTTGACCAGCCCACCAACGCAACCAACTGGCCGAACTATGTGGATCACACCGCATCCACTGGGAACTACAAGGACCGCATCATCAAGCTGTTTGCACACTATGATGAGTTTGTTCCTGATACCACAAATGATGTTCAAATTGACCCACAAACTTTGTACAACATATTGCATACGGGCCTGAGAAACTTGATAAGGATGGAACCTCTCATTACCGAGTGGGATACCAAGATGGGCGACGGTGACTGTGGAAAAATGTTGGAGATTGCGGCCAATGGAGTATTATTAGGACTTGACCAGGGTGAAGGGATGGCTACGAACGGGTCGATTTTGACTTGCTTGAACCGTATTCTTGCGATCTTGTCAAACGACATGGGAGGTACGTTGGGGGCCATTTTATATATTTTCATGAAGTCTTTCATCAACAACTTGACGATCAACCTTGGGTCGAGCCAAACTGACATTAGACTCATTTTTGCGACCAGCCTTAGCTCTGCCATCGAAACGTTGAAAGGATTCACCAAGGCTAGAGAGGGCCACCGGACTGTCATGGATGTGTTGATTCCGTTTGTCAGGGTGTTCGGAGACACATTAGATATTTATAAAGCAGTGGACGCGGCAGAGGCTGCGGCCGAAGGCACACGTAAATTGGCCCCGAAGTTGGGCCGGGCCACTTATGTGGGTGGGTTGGAGAATAAGAAGGATTTTGTCCCTGACCCGGGGGCGTACGGGGTTTACGAAGCAATTAGAGGTTTGAGGTGTTTATAATATACGACTGAGCGACCGACCGAGCATAGGGAGGTTTTTGTGAGAGAGAGGAGAACGTAGGGAGAACTTGGTGCGAGAGACGACGACGTAGATGGAGCCTCTTGCGGGCTATGAGAAGCAAAATGACTGGAGATTTCTGACCGCTGTTTATCAAAGTCCAGCAGTGATGAGCATCAAACAACTACAGTCACTAATTAAAAAAACTACCAGAGGCAACCGTCTGAAATATCAGCTATTCAATGACCACCATTAGACAGTCATGGTACTCGAACGGTCAAGTGGCTCATTAGTCTTTCTTCTCTTCTATCTCGCTGGTGTCGAGTCTCTGGATCTTCACGTAAAACGTACATTTCTAGCTTCTAGCATACCTACTCGGGTTTGATTCCCAAAACTCCTCTGACCGAGTAGTATAAAGATACAACGGTACCAACGGTAAATAAAGCGTAGTATGGGTACACTAACATTCTCGAGTTGGATCCTCTCAACCACAATGGCTTGTGGGTGGTTTGGTATCTTTGCTGTAACTTGATGATTCTCTGTGGGTCTGGGGCCATGCTGTGAATCTGGAAGGTTAGTAAACGGGATATCAATGGGAGGATTAATGTGGGTTCCACGTACTTGTCGAATAATATCAGTTGATTTTTTTTCTCATCCAATGGGAGAAATGGAGTTAGTGAGGGTGGTGCGGACACGAACGAGACACATTCGCAGCCATCAAACAAGGCCTGGAGGACGTGAAGGTCCAGTGAAAGATCCAGTGACCCAATGAGGTCCCAGGATTTAGATTCCAGGTGTTTCCCATGATCTTCATGCCAGAAATCTAACGTCTCTACTCTAATCCATATCACTCCAAACACCAGCACCATCATCATCCCAGAAAACGTCAGGAATACTATCGTCTGTGTCTCCACTATCTCTGGACATTCCACTCTCGTTACTGTCAATGTCGCTATCACTGCGATGACTATGGCCCTCACTATTACTGTTGACTTCTATTGGCTCTTCGTTGTGTCTATCATGCCCTTCTTGGCTGACTCCTGCTCGAGGCTCGCCGACCTCATCCTCACTGTCACTAATCACCACCCGACGTCGCACTGCTTGTGCCGTTCGCCTGTAGTCCACTCCATCTCGACTTGTGTCCGAGTCAACATCAATAGAAACGTTCTCTCTGTTTAGCCGGTCCACCGCGTGCCGCACGTCATCATGACTGCCATCTTCCCAGTTCATAGGACTCCGGAGTCCGGCCCACGAGTCCGCCCCATCACTCTCCTCTTCAATATGATACCCCGTATCACTTCCATTATCGACAAAGCTGTCTTCAGAATCGTACCGGTTATCACGCTCCTCCAGCACCTGGTCTTCGGAGTCCAGAAACGCATCGTCCGACTGGTGGTAGTTCTCCTCCTCTCGGGGAATCCGAAATACCGCTCCACAATGACCACATTGACTACCATGAGCTTCCCAGTGGCAGTTGGCACACCGAGCCACCCCATCCAGTCGGTCAATCATCGTCACCACCGAGTTGAAAGCATCACCGTAGAGCCGTCCGTGGTCCATGTCAAACTGATACGTCTTTCGACTATTTTCCTGACGAAGTTTAAGTTCCTGTTTTTCATTGTCACCGAGACTGCTCTGGTCGAGAAGTACGTCCACCAATCGGTGGCTGATATCTTTGAGCACCACGTTGAGTGCCGGCGGCGTGTCCAATTCGTGCCGGCACGTAGGACATGTCGCTTTGTTCTCAAACCACGAAGAACAGCATTCGTAGCAGAAGGAGTGGCCACACAGCGAAATGACGGGCATAACCATAATCTCTGCACACACAGAACACTCGAGGCTGTCAGCCAAGTCTCCAAGGACGCTGCCGAGTAGTGTAGAATCTATTTCTTGCCACTGTGTGTTATACATGATGATAGAGCTGGGAGGAGCGCGCGCGACATTAATAGGTGATGATGGCCGATGACATGCCCCATACACCCATAGTCAATCATCAATCGTCTATTGCTATTTACAAGACATATTAAGGTTACGACTTGATCCATGTGTCCACATACTGCAACACTTGTTCTAATCTAATCTCCAAGTCCGCCCGGTCCTTCTCTAACACCACCTTACAATCACCTATAAACCCTCTGAGTCTGCCCACGCACTCGCTCATATCCTCACAATTCACAAACTTCCGTTCAAGCTGCACACTCTGCTTGAGAAGGTACGGTGAGATAGTCACATCGTGAACCGGGAACTCTTCCATGGCCTGTAAGATTTCCTGCGGTTGACGGAGCTGGAAGAGGGCCCGGATGCGGTACACAAAGATCACCAGCAACGACGAGTCAGGGATCTCATTGGTATTGATGGAATCAAGTATCGCCACAGCTTCGGCATGAAGACCCTTGTTGCTGAGGAGTCTGCTGAAGGAAATCTTGTTGTTGGAGTTAAGCGTTTGGCTATGGTACTTGAAAAATGCTGATAGTTCGTCTTTGGTTGCAAAATGGAGGTTTATCACACTTAAACGGTTCTGGTTCTTGGTGGGCATGCGTATGTCTTGTGCAAGCTGTAGAATACGCGTCTTGAAGAACAAGCTCAGCCGTCTGAATGTTTCCTCAATGACATGAAAATCGGGTTTCAATCCTCTTTTCAAGAGATCCCCAAACCCTTTTTCAACTCTGAACTGAACCTGCTTGGGGTAGCTCACAGGTCTACCCTTCTTCAATATCCATGGCATAGGTTCCCAGTCCTTAGACCTATACTTATGTGGATTCAAGCCTTTGGATCCCAACCCAAATGGTTTTAACTGCGATTGAAGCAGGTGGATCTTGGTCACCGAAATGAGCAGCTGCTTATCCACGTTAGACAAGCTCGACATCTTGACAAATCGAAGAAATCGGTAGTAGAACTCCTCCGTATAATGGGGGTAACTTCGAACAAACGTTTCGAAGATCACTTGAAGGTGCTCGAGCTCAAATGGCACATTTTTGCTCATGTTACTTGACTCGAGAAAATTGGCCAAATCCAAAAACTTCTCGTGAATAAGATATTTCTGCATTAACAGCCTGTAGATATCTTTATCTGTTTGTATGCCGTCGATGCTCATCTGCTTTAGTATGTGTTCGATATGCGTGGTGCTGGTGGTGTATCTTACAAAAAAGTCCACCATAGAGTGGTAGAACTCCGTTAACTCGGCCACTTTATTGGAGCTTCGTAGCATCCTGATAATGTCGTTAACCTCGTCGACATCTTCGGCAAGAATCTGTTTCTTAAATGCTATTTTGTCTCGGTTGCAAACTTGGTACTTCAACTTAGCTTCTCGTATTCGGAAATCCTCATTTAGTCCATACCGGTAAATCAACTGCTCTATCTCCCGAACCTCATTAACAGTCCCATATTTATACCCCTGCGAGAGAACCACAGCCATGGCCCTTGCACTGGGCAACGTGTTCCTAGATAGTATCCAGGTTTGTACACAGTTGATGATTATTTCAAATAATGCTCCGTATTTAGACAACAGCATTAGTACCGTTTCAAGGAGTATTACGTTCAAGTTCTTGCGCATATTGGTAACTTCCAGGAGGAATAACTTAGCTTGTTCTGGTTCATAGTTGACAGCAAACCCGTTCAATATGTAGTTGAGGGTCTGTTCATTCAAGCATGGATTGTGCAAATACACTTCAGAAAGGGTAGTAAGCGAGTCCACGTCCCCCATGTGATAGCTGCTCCGTATGAACAATTCCTGGAACATCGCATCGTTCAACATATATGGCTCGTAAGCCTTTAAAATTGTGTGGTAGCAGGAAATTTGCTTGTGGGCTTCTCGTTTCAATGGCTGGAGGTGTAAAGCAGGCACAACATTTATACCACCCATATTAAGATCACCAAAGTCCATAGTTTGTGTTAGAACCTTCTGATCTATCACTTTGTCGTACGCTACTTGTGACTTGACAAATTCAGCTAACTGTTCGTACTGTTGTTCCCGATGCAAGCGCACAAACTCATTGGCTACAGCGCTGTTTTCCGGTTCCACATCAAAAGTCATCAGGACGGGCGTCCGCATCGATGGCCCACTACTGAAAATGGGTTTATGGCCAAAGAAATGTGTTAGTTTCTTCACATCAAGGAAATAGTTGGTGTATTGAGAATCATACCACTTGCTCTTGTCGCTAATGCCTCGACTGAACACCACCACAGACGCGCATAAGGGTGTGTTGAGAGCCCCCCGTCGCACAGAGATGTGGTACAGCATGCGTGGCTTCATGCTTGTGCAAGGTATATGTAATTTAGCCTTCTGTGGGCGTCGCAACAAACGATTCTTCTAGTTAGCACCCAAGCTTGTCGTTTGCTCAAAATTTGATTTTTCTACTTCGCACCCCAGAAAATTCATAAGCGTAAACCTTCAAAACTCTCCACTATAGCAGTGATGTCTTTATTCTCGAAATTGGGACCTCAAGGAAGAGCGTTGATGGGCCCTACAGGTAGTGGTTCTTCCTTTGAGTCATATGCCGGCAGGAAGGTGGAGGAAGGCCCTCAGGAACTTGACTATCTCATTAATGATCTCAGAAACCTGCTGCAATCCATGTCTGTGAACAAAGTTTTAGGATATATGTACCATTATTTGCCTTTTGTCAAAGTTGAGCATAACCTCCGTCTTGTGTTTGCAAGCTTCTTGAACAATCCGACGTGTTTTACTCCAGGCGGTGCTTCGTTTGAATCAAACTACCAAATCATCGAAGCGTTCAAAGCCATTACCGATAAAAAATTATCTGTATCACAGCCCACAATTCCCGTTAAGACATGGTACACGGTTCTATTTCAGGAACTAGATCACTTTGTGGCATACGACATTCATCGTAATAGCTGGAAGGTGTTGCCTATATTATCGGGGATTCTATTGTCGAATAGCTTGAGAGACGACTTGTACAGCAACCCCAATATGATCGAGTTTGGGTGGTTTTTTGGAGACTGGGACTCCAAAGCTCATGATTTGTTCGTAAAGGCGTTGGGTAATACGTTGGCAGCTTACAATTCTGATGACATTATAAACTTGAGCTTATTGAGTTTAGCAGTCACATACAAAAGGGACCAGGACATAACCTCCTACACACCCCTGGTTCTGGTATCTTTCTTGATCACTAGATTGATCCAATTGATATTTGCCAACACCTCTTATAGTTTACAGGTCTACGAGAAGTTCTTTGCATTCGACATAAATGCTGCAAATTTGCATGATACACTCAATAGTGAAGTCATGAACAAACCTGTGGTGAAACATTTGAATAGGCTTTCGTTCTTGTTAGAGAGCTACTATAGAGTCTTGCCCATCAACAAGACTGGCTTTGACTTGATAATGGATGGGTTATCGAAGATCAAGTTGTTCAATGCATCACTTTGCACCAGAACTCAAGACTCCGTATTTAACCACCCTAATAGCATCAAGGACCAGTCAGTATTACATCAGCAGTTCTGGTTTTTCATGAAAAATATCTTCTTTTCGGAGTGCATTATTGTTCAAGGGATCATGACAAGATTCTTACTGGTGAATCAATCCAAAGGGTTCTCAATATTCTCCATCTTCAAGGAAACCTATAATATCGAGCTGGAGTACCGGTTCATAGCTTTGAAGGTGGTCGAGCTGTTCTATCACTTGAACCATATTCTTGTCAATATTGGACAAGGGGGCTTTGATAGCTTCAACTTTGTCTACTATTTGTCACTTGAGTTGATATTTGGAGCTCAACCACTGATTGTTGAGCTCGAAAAACTATCAATGTTTCTTCTTGGTTACCCAAATGTCAACTTGAATGCTGATGTGATCAACTTCAATCCTATAAACAGAGGTAGGGTATTGTTTGTAATGGGTTTATGGGAAAACTATTTGCAGAAAAACAGTTTCAACAACGACTACATCAAGAGGAATATTTTCCCCATCTGTTTCGATGTAGTCAATAATCGTGGTATCCAGGCCTACGAAATAATCGAAGCTGCGCACTCCGTCCTTTTGTTGTGTTTCTCCAACAAAAGGGTCAATAAGAACTTGAAGGAACTTATGGAGTACATTGAGTTGATTGTCAATCAATTCCCTCGTATCCTCTCCGCCCAGCAATTGAGTATCGCGGTCGAGTCCTTGGGGAAACAGATTTTGTCCAACCCGATGGTCTACGAGGGATCTATGTACGCTAATTCAGCAGATGAATTCTTGGAGTTCATCAACTTCAAGTGCTTGAACACCAAGAGTGGAATACCCATTAGTATCAAGGCCAGTGATCTGATGTTCACATCAGCACAGCCAATTGGTGAAATACATGCCGAATCCACTATGAAGAGCTTGGAGACCAAGAAACAGAACATTAATATCGTTGCTGAAAATAAGATAAAGAAGCCTAAGGACCTCGTACCTCTTGGTATGCTACCAGAAGCTACAGTGGCCCCCACAGAGTATAATTTCGCCAAAAGATTGGTGCCAGAAACATCTAGAGAAGCAATGGTTCTTTCTTTCGTCAATTTGGTTCCTTACTTGCCCTTATCGGTATTTCTCAGGTGGCTAGAGAAGATCTTTTTTGTCATTGAGTCAAGTAATCACCTGGAAAAAACATACCTTATACTGATGTTCTGGAAAGTTTTAAGTGAAAACTTGGATTTGAATAGGTGTGAGTTGGCGTACAGGTGGTGGTACGAAACCAAGAAAGCGGTTGCCAAAAACATTGGTCAAGAAGTATCTCGTCTATAGTTTATGTAGCATCATTATCAAAATGCGCACAAAAAAACTGTATCATCTCATCGCAAATAAATATCAAATAAATATGGCTAGAAAGAAATCGGCTGCCAAGAAGGCTAAAGAAGCCGAATCCAAGCTTAAACAACAGAAAAACATTGGTAATGAGATCCTTTCACAAGATGTCTCAACTCAACCGAAAAAACCTGAGTTGGAATTGATCTCTGATGATGATAACGAAGAGTCCACTTCCGAAGAAGAAGACGAATATGGCGAGCTTTTTACCGCAGATATCGATGAAGGAATCAACAAGGTCTTAACGGCAATTAGAACAGACCCTTCAAAGTTGTTGGATAAAGATATTAACTTCTTCGAACAGAAAGCCAGCTCATCTAAGGAATCAACCAAGAAGGAGAAACCCATGTACTTGAAAGACTACCACAGAGAAACCTTGTTATCTGGTGCTTATAAAGACGATGAAGAAGAAGAAGATATGCCATACGGAACAGTTGATGGCGAAAAACCTTTTGTTGTGACCCAAAGAGAGGAAAGAGACCAGCTTTTATCAGATATCAAGAATGCTTTTGATGGTGATGAGAGTGAAGAAGAAAGTGGTGATGAATTTTTGAAGAAGAAGGAAACCAATGTTGAGATTTCACCCGTGAGATTACCTGATCCCAAGAAGAATGAAGAATCATTCTTAAAGACTTTCCTTGAAAGCAAAGCATGGATTCCTTCGGAAAATGATAAAGTCATCAATCTCGACCGAGCTGGTGAGGATGATGAAGAGTTTGATGAAGCTGCAGATCAGTTTGAAAGCGCATACAACTTTCGTTATGAGGATCCTCAATCTGCAGAGATTGTTTCGTATGCCCGTACCCAAGCCACGGTAAGACGAGACAAGACCAATGCTCGTAAAAGACAAAGAGAAAGGGAGCAAGAGGCAAAAGCAGAAGAGTTAAAGAAAAGAGAAGAAAAGATCAAAAGGAAGGAAACATCCAAGGTCAACAAAGCTCTTGATAACCTTACCAAGATCAAAGAAGCTGTGGGAGGTGAGGTGAGTGATGATGTTATTCAAAAGGTGTTTGGAGAATCTCTTTTGAACGACGATTTCGACGATACAGACTGGGACAGCAAGATGGCAGAAATTTTTAATGAACAGTATTACGACGAGGAAAATACCAAACCCGAATGGAGTGATATGGATGATATCGGAAGCGATAATAGCGAAGAAGTTGAAGCGGAAGAACCTCCAACGAAGAAGTCCAAGAAGGATAAACTCAAAGACAAGAAGGCTACAAAAAAGGGGAAAGAAAGTCTCAAAGAAAAGGCCAAAGCTCTTGTAGAAGCCAACAAGGCCAGAATCATAGAGGAAGTTGAAGAAGAAGAACAAAGAGGTCGTCCTCAAGTGGAAGATGTCAAGTTCAAGTATCGTGAAGTTTCTCCTGAATCGTTTGGTTTAACTACTCGAGACATTTTGATAGCTGATGATCAACAGTTGAATTCGTTCATTGGTATCAAGAAGTTTGCTCCATACAGACCCCAGGAGTTGAGGGTGAAAGACAGACGGAAGTATAAGAAGAAGAAGAAGATGTTGGAGGACTGGAGAAAAGAGGTCATGAAAGGATACAAACCGCAAACTAATGAAGAAAATGATGATAAAACTATCTGGGTCAAAGTCACCGAATCCACGAGTGAAAAGAAAAGTAAGAAGTACAAAAAATAATCTTTGAAACATTTCATTACCATTACATACTAAATAATGTACTAAGCAGAAGCACTGCTTTCAATAAATAAAAACATTACATCAAAGCACCTATTCGTATCCAGGGAAACTTGCGATTGACCTCGCCTTTCCTCTTATGAGCCCAAGGCTTCTTATAGACCTTCTGGTTGAAGTTGGAGCATGGGCCATCGGTGCAGGATTCAAAAGTCTCTTCAACCAGATTCTTGCAAATATGAAGAAAAACGTTACGATGCAAACCATCACTCCCACGATACCAAAGAACCAACGAAGTTGACCTGTAGCTTGACCTGGAACGGTGACATTCATACCGAACAAACCAGTAATCACGTTCAAGGGAAGTAACAAGGTTCCCAATAAGGTGACTTGAGATAACATTACGGTGACATTGTTATTGGAGTTGACCGATTCCACTTGCAATTGAGCCAAGTAGTTGGCATGAGATCTACTGAAGATTTTTTCGTATGCCAACAAGTTTTGAAACATGGTAACCACGTGATCCTGGATATCACCCAAGTATAATGCGATTTCACCTCTTGGTTGGGTTATGTTTGCACTGGATGGCTGAAATTGGTATTGAAGCGGCGATACCATATTTGGAGGAGCACCTGGATTTGGGCCAAAACTGATACCCCCAGTTCCATCATGACTAAAGCCAAGGGGGGCAGTAACATTCGTAGATACAGGAGCAGGTGAAGGAGAATTATAGTGGTTGCTGTTATCCAAGTTGGCCTGAGATTGGGAATGTGCCAACGAATATACTTCGTCCTGGCATCTTTTAGCAAACATCTTAATGACGTCTGCTTTACCAGACAATAACCTCATTAATGTCATAACTTTTCTTCTCGACTCACCAATCCTCTTTAACATGGTACTAAAGTCAGTCTCTCTGGCAACAAGTACCGAATCCTCAATAGCATCAGCTTCATATTCAATGGCAGTGATCACTGGACCGAAACCATCGGTGATATTATCGATGATAGCGTAACAGATCCAGTCTGCACTTACATCAACGTAATCTCTCAATTGACGGACTCTTCTTCTAACATTTGCAGAATGAGTAACTGGAGAAAAGTGGAACGATAATATGCCTTCTCTGAATACCACCATGTACACGTTAATAGGCTCAAGGTAATCTTCAGACTCTTTATCTGGCTCAAAGGTATGGAAACACACAAAGTAATAGTTCCTGAACAATTCGACTTTTTCACGACTTTCCTGGACTCTGATATCTTCCGATGTCAAAGGGTGAAGTCCGAAAGCTTTTGAAAGAACCTTCATTTCAGCATCTGTTGGACATGTACAGTCCAACCACCATGTTCCTTCACCATTATTGAACACTTCTCTTATAGACTGATCCACTTCTGTCAAGGAAGGGATGTCAGGAGCGTGGATGGTTTCACCTTGGTTGGTGGTGAAGAAGGAAAATCTTTCTGGCAAAGGACTGGCATCATCGCTCTGGCTATCCACAATTCTGGGGTCAGCAAAGCTCACAAACTCATCAGAACAAGGAGTGGCCTTCGGTTCATACTCATTCATAGTGGAAGAATCTGAAGGGTGCTGTTTTTCCAAGTCAGGAATCGGTTGGATGGAGCAGTTTTCATCATTGGTCCTCTTGGAACCTCTGGTAAACGCTGTAGCAGTTCTCTTCAAGATATTCTTGGGAGTATACTTGAGCGATGCCGTCGACTGACGCATGGCAGATGAAGACGATTTTGAGGTGGGCCGGAGACCTTGATACGTGTTGAGCCTGTCGTTGATCATCTGCTGCTGTTGCTGGGCAATTTTGGCAGCATCTCGTTCTTCGTTTATAAACTCATCGATCTCGTCAAAGTCGATTCCGTTGACCCTAACATGCTCCCGAAGCATGGGGAAACACACATCTTCTTCAGTTTCCTGAGATGACCTAGATCCATGGGAATTGGCCTCACTGTCGATGGACGAGTTGGAAGGTCTTCTCTCTCTCTCTTTATCGCCGGAATGGGTCGTGTCGTTTGTTCTGTGCCTCGTCATGGGCGAAGCCAAGTCGGCCTCCAAGTTGTCGTTCATGGTGTCTCTTCTTTTTCTCCGGACAGACGCATTGACCTTCATGGGAGCATCCACAGTCACATTCAAGTGTCTTTGGTCCTTAGGATCCAAGCCTCCATCGCCAAACGAGTGTGAAAGAGACGTTCTTCTCTGCGCCCGATGGCTGGTCCGCCCGGTCTCGAGAATGCTCACAGGGTTCAAGTTTGCAGAGGAAGGTTCATCACCTAAGACGCTACTGTTGATAGAAACAGTGGGAGGCTGAGGAATGGGTAATGATGCCGGCTGGTTTCTGTGGTCGTCCAAGCGCTGGTCGTAGCGTTGGTTGTACGACTGCTGGTGGTGGCCACGAGGTGACGTCGACGAGTAACTTTCGCTGTCAGACATAGGAAGTGAAGGAAATAATTAGAAGCCCACGTTGGAAACAACACTTGTAAAAAATAGTAGAAGCGCGGGTCTGAGGGGCAGCGTGGGGACGTACGTTGGATGGAACAGTCTTTAGGGGACAGCAATATGTTTCAGTTTAGCAACAAAGCGATACACTCATATTATGGACCACAACGGTATGTTAATGTCAGATATAGTAGCAAAAAAACCTGAGATTTTCATCTTCGCGGAAACAACAGGGTGTGCGTGTACGTGCTCAGATGACTTATTTAATCTACACTAGATGCACTTGGGACTTCTTGGACTGTTCGTCGTTCATATTCACGCATATATTAATTATTATATTCTTATGAGACATACAATACGGATCAATGTTTCTTCAGTCTGTTGCTTTTAGGTACTCTGGCCAACCAGTAACAGAACACAGTTCCGATGATGTTGATGGCAACGAAAGCAACAAAGATACCAAAGTTTCTCCATCTTTCTGAGTAGATCGAGCTCACCGATGTCAAAAAGTCATTGGTGGACTTCATGGTACAGAATTCACATCCTTCAGTGGCGCTAGGGTTGATAACGTTACCACCAGCAGTTGAAATGTAGCTCGACATGTAGTCACCACAGGTTTGACCAGATGGTGGATCAAAGTGCAACAATTCCTTAGCTCCGCATACAACTTCAGTATTGGCCAAACTAGCTGACAAAACACCTTGAATGAGATATGTTATTGGGTTAGCTCTGTACATGAAGATCCAAAACCCTGGAAAGAAGTCAGCGGTGGCCAACACACCACAGAAGCTAAGACACACAGTAAACAACATGACTGCCAAATTAGCAGCATTATCAGCAATCTCGTTGAAAGACATGGCCCATTGAGCAAG